GGACTCACTTTGATTAAACCTGAATTGCGATCTACCTATACCCCCTGTTACAAATCAGCCCACCAGGGAGTTCAGCAGCTCAATTCATCCAGTCGTCATTGAACAAAGTAGCAGAAAGAAAACGATACAAAAAAGAAATCAGCGACAAATGGAATTTCGAATACGCGGCGGGCGTGGTTGTTTTCCTCTAATTGCGACTGACGTGATGGGGTGACCTTGCGCGGGCGGGCGCGGTTGGTGCGAGCGGGCAGAGGCAGTTCTTACCGAGATTAAGCCTAAACAATACAATCCAATAATAAATGAATATTTATAGTCGTAGTTGTAGGTTTTTTTCTCACATGACCATTTTTTAAAACTTTGACCTAGAGCATCCTATAGAAACAGACTAGTTGAAAGCGAAGTTGAAAGTGTTAAACAAGCAGACACCTTTCCGCGAAACGAGGTTAAGCTTAATTCACTTCGAATATCATTAAATGGAATTTGCAAATAATAGTTTTGTTTTCGCGTCACTTTTGTGATCTCTCTCTCTCTCTCTCTCTCTCTCTCTCTCTCTCTCTCTCTCTCTCTCTCTCTCAGCTTCTTTATCACATTTTTCAATACTGTGAGCGACACCGATTGTTTCAATCTTGCGGGCAAAAAAACAGCATTCTCTGATAAAACAAAAGCAGGGGCGCCACTAGAATGAAGGTACGCCGTAACCGAATGCACACGGCTTGCTTCGCTCACAATGCGATATCAGGGATGAATAGCTGATGGAGGGGGCTAAGTGACGGGCGTGGCGAGGGGCGAGGCGTGGCGGAGCGTGGCCGGGAGCGGCGGGGCGCGGCGGCCGTGATGGGGCCCCCGCCCGGGCCGCGGCGAGGCGGCCGTTGTGTGCGGCGCGGCCAGAAATGCACTTCGAGCCAGCGGGTCGTAATGCAGCACTAGAGTGGCATTTCAGAGAGCTGACGGAGAGCTGACGGGGTGGGAGAGAGAGAGAGAGAGAGAGAGAGAGAGAGAGATAATGGGGCCAGGATAATCTGGATCTGGGATAACTCTTTGTTGAGAGGCGACAATGCAATCAGGAGGGAGGGGTGGACCCACGGAACCCCTAAGCAGCGCCGCCGCGACCCAAACCCGCTTACCAGGAGCAGCATTCGCAGATCAAGAGGGCGGGCACAGAAAGAGTGGGGCCGCGGCCGGGGCTGGTGTGGGGGAGGTGGGGTGGTGTGCGTCGTCGTGTGGTCGGCATATCAGCAGGGAGCAAGACGGGGTTGGGGATAAAAGGGTGGCTGTTCGGCGAGAGAGACAGAGAGGAAGAGAGAGGGAGGGAGGGAGGAGGGGGTGAAGGCGAGAGGAGGGCTTCTCTAAATAAACTGCCGGCGACAGTGAAACAGACGGCGAGTGATAGAATGGCGGGGGAATGCGTAGGTATGCGCCACGAGGGAGCAAGCCCCCCCCCC